GGCCCGATCTGAGGTCTGCCCCCTGGCGACGCTGTCCTTTGGCCCCAGCAGAGCGGGGTCCTCCATTCCCCGCCCTCCTGCGGCCACAACCCCTTTCACCTGGCGGACTCTTATCTGTCCCCTGAGACCGCCAGGTGCCCCAGGCGGGCTCTGCGTGCCGCCCTCCAGCCCCCAGCTCCCGGCTGCGTCGCACGGGCCACCCCGCATGCAAGGCGCGTGTCTGGCGTGGCCGGTGGGTGCCGGGGGCCCCGCCACGCTGAGGGCCCGGCAACGCCCGCTCAGTGCTCACCGCCTTCCTCCCTCAGGTCTGCAGGAGGGGGGATGAGGTCGCGGGGGTTCATTCTGGCCACCAGACAGACGTCGTAGCTGTCGTGCATGAGGACGTTGACGGCTACAACGTTCCACTCGCTCTCCCAGGTGTCCAGCTCCAGGATTTCTTTGGAGATCACCTCGTGGCGATCTGAAAGACAGCAGAGCAGGAAGACAAGAATCCCATGGGGTATGACCTTCAGAAATCATCATCGCTGTACGGAAAACGTGCAAACGGCACCGTCTCAGTCGTTTCGTGTCGCTGTGACAGAAAACCTGAGACCGGATAGTTTATAAAGAAAAGAGGCTTGGTTGGCTCGTGACTCCGGTGGCTGGAAAGTTCCAGGCTGGGCATCTGCATCTGGGGAGGGCCTCGGGCTGCTTCGCTCGTGGCAGAAAGCGGCAGGGGGTGGGGTGTGGAAAGAGCTCACGCGGAGACGCAGGGAGTGAGCGAGAGTCCCAGGCAGCTAGACTCTTCTCAGCAACCTGCTCTCCCGGGAACCGGTCCATTCCCGCGACAAGGAGAACTCGGCCCTGTGGGAGGGCGTCAGTCTGTTCATGAGAGTCTGTCCCCGGGACCCAACGCCTCCTACCAGCCTCGCCTACCAACATGACCACGCCGCGCTCCTATTCCACGTGAGTTTCTGAGGGCACGGACTCAAGCCATGGCATGGAGCTCCAAAAATTAACACACAGCTGGATATAGATCTTTTTTTGAGACAGAGTCTCACTCTGTC